ATTTTTCGGCTTCGTCTTGCCCGACCACAGGTCGGCACCGCATAGCACACCGCCATCGTCAATCGTTAGTACGTTCATCGGCCGCGCGATGTTGGTCGCCATGACTGCGATGCTCGTGTCCGTGGCGGAGTTCTCAAATATTCTGTCCGTTTTGGCCGTGCTCATGTGCTTCTGCGCCATGTTCTTGCTGATAATGAGGTAAGTCATCTGCTGTCGYGTTATTACAGCAAGTAATGATAGTGATTAGACAGCCTTAATAATATAGGTATGTAAGTGGTAGGCAGTAGGCACGATATTTAGTTTACAGCTCGCTCCGATCATCGTATTTACAATAAGGTGTTATGACTGTGTATTGTGTATGTAGGTGCAATAAGGTACGTAAAATGAATACCTAACCTACCTCCTACCGATATTGTATTGTTGGGAAAAAATAGTTATCGATCAGCCACAATATTTTCCATACCATAAAATATGTYAAGATGATATAGCTCTAAACTTTCAATAACATCACATTAAGTATAATAATATCTACCTACACTCTCTGGTTGCATTCACTTTTCATGGACAGACCTGACTTTACGACGTTCACACAGTGTATTAGTGTAACACTACTAACACTCCGCAATGTATATGGTGTGATTTTGATAAAAATATCTTGTTGTTTAATACCTATGTACCTGTATATTTTAATATTTTGAGCGACCATGTTTTTGCATATTCTTTTCCGTTCGGTTTTTGATTTTAGGAAGCATAAACGTGTGGACGATGTACCTCTTATAATACGATATTTTAAAACACAAGATAAAATTGTGTGTTGTTTAGGTACCGTGTTCATAACGATAATATTATATATAGAAATACAGATATCGTATTTGTGTTTTGTAGGTTTGAATATATTCTGATAGTAGTTTGTGGTTACAATGTCAGTGCTTACGTAGCCGCAATAAGAATAATCTCTACAGTAGATAGGTAGTATTAGAAGATCAGTATAAAATATATTTCCGTAATTATTTAATCAATGCTTATATTATCAGTAATAAATAATCTAATCCAAAAATTAAATTGTTTATAAGTAATAGGTTTAAACAAACAAAGAATTATAAACCATAAACGTGTACAATTGTATAAAAATATATGAGTTTATAATTATTTCATATCCATTAAAAAAAAAGAAATAAAAACGTTGGTAACTAAATAAATTACTCAATAAAATACTTATGTAAACTGCAAATATAATATAATTTTGTTAGGTAGGTATAGTTTGTAAAATGAATAAGGCACTTGTTTAGATATACATTTCTAAATTAATTAGTAAATAACGGTTTATTTACAGTAAGGATAACTCAGTTGTGCTAAATTGCCTTAAGGAATTTTGTGATCTGGATAAAAATTAGAAAAACTAAAATAGGAATAGATAGGTAAATCACGAATGTTTATAGCTATCCTGCCAACCGTATTTAAAACATATGGTAAAAGAGGACTAAAAGTATTATAGATTAAACTCAAGTTTATTGTCATTCGTGAAACAAGTAGTGGAACGAGGTTAATATTTTCAATGTTGTGAACCACCGGTCGAGTTTTTATCAAACGGGTTAAAATGCAAATTTTTTGAGACCAGTGGTGTTCATACGGTAAAATAAAACAAGATTTTGCTAGCATTGTTAATTCTAACGGTATTTTCTTGAAATAATATTATACCAGTTGTCCGACAACGTTGTGCAACAATCTAAATCGGTCCTTTTATGAACTGAATGTTATGAGATTGCATAGAATTGGGGGAAAAAATTATTATTTCAAACGTTCACAGTGTAAGCTAAGTAAAATGAGTAACAATCATAAAGAAGACCAAATAAATTAGTACCGTACTGCTAAGCTAGAATGATAATGTTAAAACTGATATGCATATTTTTTATTTTTATTTTTAGCATTAACTATAGTTAATATATACGACATAGGTATATGTTCAATAGTTATAACTCTAGAGAACGGATCTTTAGGTTTTTAAATATTTTTATTGGCTTTATGYACTTTCACGAGGATGAAAAATGTGGACGATTTATGCATCACAGAATTCGTAGGAAAAATGTATTTTATATATTTAATCATAGYATGTATATAAGACTATAAGAGAATATTTTTTGCCTATTTTTTATATTCTAGAATATATTCTCATTCAAAATAATATATGTTGTTGATTTTTTATAGCAACAATTTTTTCTAGGCCAAAAAATAATTTTATTTAAGAATTATATAAATTACCAAACATTCAATTACTATTTATATTTTGTATTTTTAATAGTTTACCTGTTACCTAAGGAATGGCGCATAACAGTTATTTATTCTTTTTTTGAACTATTTTATAAAATAAATCTTATTATCATCTGCACATTTACAAGCTTAAAGAATGTTTAGAGAATATTTTATGGGTTTTTTTAGAACGTATTAGCATCATATTTTAAGCTTTCAAAGTTTTAAGAATCTAAAAATCCGCTATTTTTATAAGCTTACAAAAATATTACATTTTTACTTTAAATAGCACATTAAAATTTTATTGAGATAAGAAATTATGTTAAAGGGGTTTGCAATTAGATCAATTGATCAATTGCTTCATATATATTTTCATGTTAAATTCATTTCTGGCTTCGTAGAAGTTAGGGTAGAATACGATGATGTGCTTGATGGAGTTGTTTCTGTTGCTGTTAAGCATAAGTGCGTATCTGTCTTAGCCATAAGGTGTCCCTGTGTGAAAGTGTTTAAACCAATTCTTAGTCTATTGAGAATAACCTCTTTTTCTATTTAGATCTATAATGTATTTCGGCCACAATTCAATATATAATGTATTATAGATACACACACATATATATATTTACAAGTGTACTCTACAAGACTTCAAAATCTATCACCCTATTAGAGTGACTCTAAATAGTTTAAACTCTAAACTCTAGACTCAAGATCTACAAGACCGTAATATCGTAATATATATATTGATAATCATTGGTTAGATACATATTATGTAAATAAACCTCGCTTTGCATTTACGTATTATTATTTAAAATGAATTAACATAGAAGATACTTGTTCTATTTTCAAACAGACCGAAATTATAAGAGACTATAATAGTAATAGGAGTCAAGGGTTAAATGTTACATAACATTGATATATTACTCGCTAGATTACTCGTTAAAGTTTAAAAAACTATAGTTATTAAATAAATAATATACGAATATAAATTGAAGTATATAATAAGAGATATAATATATAATATAAATACTGAAACATAAAAATAAGTCTTGAGAAGGAGGAAAAGCAATTAGTTGGAAATTACTATCGCTAATTGACAACGACCGGCGACCTACTAAGAAAATCCCGTGGGCCATTACTAGTATGGGCTAATTCGTTTTTTGATAGCTGTTTTAATAGTTTATTATTTTTACCCAACTACCAAACCTATAATCTGCCTATAATAATATGCCATTGATATATTTTATTTGAGGTTCTCATATTTCTTCCAAATTTGAAAATAGAATCCAGAATTTTGTTTGAAATAGGTACCTACACATAACACATACCTACTTATATATATTTTTTGAGACAAAAATTCACAAATTAAATGTCGTTTTGATATAGGTCGATTTTCTCATGTATCATCGCGTCCGATAGATAAATTGGAAAGATTTATTCCAAACAACACCATTTCAGTATTTTTCTATATTACTACTTATGTAGATTAACATAGAATCAAAAATTGCCAGAAAATATTATTTTTCTATTTATGAAGTGTTTTTTGTCACATTTTTGTTGAGTATACAATAAATTAATAGCGAATAAAGTAGATCATGAGAATATGTTAGTTTCGATTATTKTGTGGATTCCAATGTAGGGAGGAATAAATGAAGGTGCCCAATGCCTATGGTGCATTTACGAAAATCTGATCGTGAAATATACAAAGAAAGAGAGTGTTATTTCGACCACAGGTATTGTGTATATGCATACTATGTAGTTGTCTGCCATCCCCTTGCYATGATATTGTATATCATTTTTATTGTTGTTATTATTATTATTTATCGGCGGGTGACTATCCCTAAACGAAAAAGCATCGTGTATACACATTTCTTCGCATCGATAATTCAATTCCATTTACAGAGGATAAAATATAGGTAGTATGAGGATTCATGCCTTACGGCTCTGCGGGATTGGACCGAAAAAAATATATATCGGTGGTAACAATAACAGAAATATTTTACTCTATTGTATCGTCACGAATTTTATATCATGCGGCCATCCGTGTTCATGTTTAATACACTATAATATTATTATTATTATTTATTATTATAACGTATATACAATATACATCGCGATGCACGGCGGCAATGGTCCAATGAATCGACAACGACGACGCACGTTTTGAAAAAAGAATAATTTTCGCTCGTCGTTGTCGTCGAGGTCAAAATAATAATCACGAGTAGGGAACAAAAATGTAGGAAAAAAACCAACCAACAATAATAATACCGCCGACGACTACGGTCGACCGATCGGCGGCCGTCCGCCCCCCTTAAATTTGTATGCAAAATCTGTGTGTTGTGTTGCGTAATTCGTACGAAAGACACGTATTCGCGTGCATGTGCGTGTAATAATGATACGTGTATTATACGATAATATTCTCGCGGATGATGCTGAGGTAAAGTTTCAAAACGAAAATGTTATTATAATATTATTATTTATATCGTTGTTAAGCAGTCGCGGCGTGTGATGAGTGCAATAGTATAATAATAATGCGTAATAATGTAATATGATGTAAACAGTATTATGTTGACGAGTACAAAGTCGACGGAACGGTTCACTGTTTTWTGTCTTTATTTTTTAAATCGGCGAGGACATCACCCTTCGAGAAAAACGACACGTCACTCGATTATTTTTGCGACGCACGCGAGCAACAGCCGTTAAGCCGTCGTTGAAATTTTTGCAACGGGATCGGAAAGAAAGTTGTTTCGCGCCGGTGGAATTACGAGTTTTGTTTGTTTATTTATTTTATTCATGGGTGTTGAATGCCGTTGACTTCGTCAATGTTGGTTCGATTGTAAACAAATAGCGGGCGGCGTAATATTATATTATTTTTGAGTCGTCCAGTAGCAATATCCAGTCCAACAAAAACCTGGGAAGTTACTCTGCTGCGTATAGAAAGTTTTAAATGGATTTTC